CGATGAGGTCAGGAAGTCCGGGCAGCCCACCCGCTGCTGGTTGAGATAGGGTATTGGATTACAGGGGACCTCGGCCACTGATCAAAATTAAAGCTGCAAGCGAAGAGTTGCCTTCACGTGAAGACTACGGCTTATTAAATACTCAAATAAGAATTCGCAATATTGGGAGTTACTTTCAACCCAGTAATTATTCGTGTTCTGGGTGCGGCAGCATGAAGGTGACTTCAACTGCGATTGGCCGGGAAATTAAGTACATTAGTTTGGATGACCCATTTATGCAAATTGCCGGTGGAAAAGATCGCTCTTAAAAAAGCAAAACTTAAACTGAGCGCAGGAAAGCATGATGCACGGGTCGCATTAACAGCAGAAAGAATGGCATGCTAACCGACGATTGTTAATTTTTGGAAGCCCAAAATATAGTTTTGTATCAGAAACGGAGAAAAAACATGTCTGGTGGGAAGGGGGTGTGAAAGGAAAAGCCGATTTAGTATGGAAGGTTGGTATGGATCAATGAAAAGCCCTGGTAGCGTCTGAAGGAGTTTATTTTTCCGCATATATATATCTCCCAAAAGAAGATGATAGGCAAAATTATGGTACACTGGCAGCAGTAATAGTGTTTCTAGGTTGTTTGTCAAAATTTATAAACAGAAAGGACAGAAGGACGGCCAGCATCGTCAAAATCATCATCATCACGCACACCACGATGGCCATAACCACAGACATTCAGCTTAATACACTTTTCGGCTGACGTAAATAGGTAAACAACCATAAATTGCCAGTGTGCGTACCGCACTGACGGGCGACATGGAAGCGGTAGCCCCGACCGCGAAACAACTACTGTCAGAGTCGAAGGAAAATAGCAAATCTGATAGAAATCTGGTGAGGCAAAGTGCTGTCGTAAAGATTAAAATTAGATGAAAATAAGGTGATGCGTGGGAGGGAATCAGAGAGTGCGAAAACGTCAGTCATAAGATGGAAGGCACCTGGAAGCAAAGGAAAGAATGTTCTGGCTTGAATGAAAGGCACGAAGGCAAAGGACGAAAGATGGTGGGAATTGAGCAAACAGTAATGTATACACAGAAGGACAGCAGTCTCCCATACACAGCTGTCCCAGTTAAACATGGAAGAGTAAGTACATAAGTCGAGGTCAGAAATGATGGTCCGTATCTCCGTGATGGAACTGGAGAAGAATCCGCGGTGGGAAAAAAAATAAAACGTGTCAATTACGCCTTTCTGAACTGTCCCTGAAGCCAAATCCACCTACGCCAAAAAAGTGGGTTAAGCACATTTACTAAAAAGGAGATGGGTTTCGTTCCAAAACCATAAGTAATTGGCGTCAACAATGTGGCAATAGTGCGCAGAAAGCATTCAAGGGGCAAAGTCTGTGCCGCATAGTGCTAAGCTACTTTCCGACACAATCAAGACGCCAGAGAGGGATGGGGGTTATCATTTAAAAGTGGGTTAAAGAGACTCAGACAGAACAAAAGGAACAGTTCGTTAAGGCAACGTAAGTACAAACCAGTTGGATGGCGAACAATCAGCCTGATATTGATATCGGTAGGCGCACAGAGCCGCATACACAAAGGTGACCGCTGACAAGGACAGCATAGCATTATGGGCTGCACAGCCGATCGTCCACAGGGAGGGAGCAATTACGCAGGAGCCTGCAGCCGTCGTAGTTTTAATTTCGAGAACCAACCGGTAGCTGCAGCGACGACGAGGATGCGATGTCGTAACGCGTGCACAGATGCGAGCACACACCTTGCGATGGCCCAACCGCTTTAAGTGACGGGTGCCACCTCTGCCCACGGGACGGGGAGGGACGTAACTTGCAAAGTAATTATTTGTGGGAAAGCGAACCTGCGACGTGTATACATCACCCTCCGCGTTCACACGCATCATACTCTACCGGCGAGACAGCATCATCACGACGGAAGGTCGGCGGGGACGCGGTGGCCCACAAAACCTAACAGCCCGTCTACGTATGCCACAAAACATCAGGTTTTATTAGCGGCGGTTGATTCGGACCACGGGCTAATGAGGGCCACATGGAGGTAACGGTAAGACGAAAGCACCGTAGTTCGATCCAGCATACCAACGACTGAATACTGCAGCCAGTGTACACTCCCTAGCCTTATCTGCTACTGTCTCTGGTGATGAGCTTGAGTGCGATTCTGAAACGGTTCGGTAATCGGATCTTTTTGCCAGTAAGTTTCGTGCTCGCCTCATGAGGCGGTTGCCCAGAAACATGTGCGATCAATGCAGGTGCGCATTCGGGTTTCTTAAGTTTACATCGTTTCGGGCCGTGAGATACTGACAAATGTCTTGTCAAGATGTGTATTGATAGTCTCATTGGCATCCCAGTCGTTGCGATTTCCTCCTTCATGCTCGTGCATAAAATGGATGCAGTGTACGTGTAGTCTAAAGTGAATATGATTCTCTGAGAGGTGAAATCTCTTATTCGGAGAAGTTACTTGTTTTTGTTGTTCCTAGCAGACAACCTTTTGTTTGGGGTGATTCCACCCTGCGGTCTCTCCCTTGTGCATTGCGGTGTTTCATTGTTGGGATGCTTCAGAATGATTTTGCGTTCTTAAGTTGGGTGGTTACTTACTCCTTTACCGTCCACTTTGCTTTAAGGGGTCGAGGACGGGCTATGAGGTTCATTTCCTTGAACCTCCTAAGGATTGGCGGTACAGCAGCGAAGTCTTGGCTAAGTAAGTTTAAGTCCTTCCAATACCCCCTCTCCTGCTTGTCTTTACTTTCAGCGAAACTTTCTTTTGACTTCAAACCCTTCTTAAGTTAAACTGGTGTTCTAAATTACCTTTTAAAAGGTCTAGTAGTACCGAAACCGGGTGGCATGGAGATCACGTTGAAAGGAAGCGACTGCAGTCTGACCTGAGCAATCGCATCAGTTAGCATTCCTCCAAGCCACAACTACTGATGCGTCACGATCTCTGCAAAACACGTTTGTATGTTTATGGCGACTATATTAGACCCTGGATACGAGCTAAACCAACTTATATGTCTCTTCTCAGTGGCTTGTCCGGATCAAGCAGACTGCGAATGAGATGGAGGGAAGGAGGGGGGAGCGGCATTGGCTGAAGCAACAGTCTGATGTTTGCAACACAGGGGGTACGCACGAGTTCGCATGACCCACAAGAAAGCCCTCAGTATGTCAATGAATAGGATTAGAGATAATGAGAAGGATGGTGCATAGGCAAACTGGAAAATGGACAAACTTGAAATTATGGTCAACACCAAGTTCGTCGGTGTAAGAACGACCGAACGCGACATGCAGTGGAACCTGCCTCTCCAAAATAACACTTAGCGGCACACTCTAGTGGTTCGTTTATCAAGTAATTAGAGATAAACATGGCTTTCGTGTGTACTGAACTAGTACAAATCCTGGAAGAAAGGACTTACGTTATCTGCATAAATGCGAATTCTCGCAACAAGTGAGAGTACGAATGTTCAATAATTAAGGTTGATATGTAATGCAAAAACCTATACTACGAAGAATGATGGTAACGTTTGATAACGATGTTTGCGACGGTGTGAGGTTCAACGTGATGCTGATACGGTGTCCCCGGTCAGCGAACAGAAAGGGCTACATTCGAATGAGAAGTGTATTGACTAGCTACTGAATTTGAATAAGTACCACAAATGGAATCAACTGTCACCACCGTATACTACCGCCCGCTGGTCATTGCAACCTGACTCGGTGGACATCGACGACAACGGTCAAACTATCGAGTGCTTGCTGGCAGCTTGTGAATATTACGCGGTCATTCCGCAGTAGCTGATGGATTTCAGCTCGAATATTCATACGTAGAAGTTCGAACCAAGCCTAAAAACCTTCAACTTGGAGGATTTACTCCAAGTTTACACACTAATATCCCCAGAAACTAGACAAGACAGTATGGAAACTGGAGTTAATGAGGCAAAATAAGAATAAAGTGAGAGCTTATAAATCCAACTCATAAAAGGTCTTCGGGAACTGATAGACCAAGGTTTCCCAGATGAGCAGGAGTTCGAATCTCTTCAACCCACAGCGCAATAGATATAGCTAAATGTCAGACCCCTTTACCCTTCTTTCCCCATCCCTAAACCCCTGACCTCTGACCGTCGTCAATTCTCTTCCCTATGCCTGCTTTTTATTGACTGTTTAAACTTTTGGTACTCTAACTTCTCTATATTGTTACAGGTCAGATTATGAATAATCGAAAGTGTACGTTTGCCGAATTTGACTTCATAAACTACAATTCATGTACAGTAAAGTATATAATGAACGCTGGGGGACGCAGCTGCGTCGTGCAGCGGCACAAGATGAGCCTTTAGCTAGTACCTGTGCTGTCAGTATGGTTAGGGCTTCAGTATTCGTATATGCTTAGCCATTAAATTAACGTGCTTGAAAACTAGCCCGACACTTACCTGGAGGAAATTGTAATTGCTGTAATGGAGAAATCAAAGAGTAGACGATTGTGAAACAGCATTGTCTTGTGGTTCATTAGTTAGCGAGTGGGTTGGTGCCCACCTGACTGCGTGGAAGTTCGGGAGGACCCCGTTGAGGTAACATTCGCCGTCCATAGAGCGCACACTCTGGGACACACACTCGAAGCGAGCGAAGGGATCAGAGTTCCCTTTCTCGTCATTAATCAAAATAGGGGCGCAATCCAGGAAAAAGGGAACGTCGCCCTGGTGCAAAGGAAATGTCGATATCGGATGTTTGGTTCCTCCATCACATGCACTGTTCGAACTAGCAGGGTGGACGCCACCAACAGTTGTGTTGACCTGCGTGGGACCTACATAGGACATGGGAGTCTGCACTGCGACCGTCGGCGATGGGCAGTTGCGGATTGATCGGGATGAGTGGGAATCCATTTCAAACGTGGATAACGTTAAATTAGATATGACGGTTGGTCTTGAGAGGGATGGGTCAACAGGGGCACACGGTGGGCCTTCGAAGTACGGCGCAGCTGAGGTGGTGTAACCAAGGCGCTTTACGACAGATGAAGCATACTGCGGAGAGGACTGGGCGGCGACTGTTCGGGGCCGGAGTTTGTCCTGAAATTGCGAATTATGAACGGCAAGATCAGTACCGCAATAGAAATATGTAACTGACTAACAAAACAGCGCTAAACATCGTTATAACAGCAGGGGAGTGAGGAAACCAGCTTGCACCAGGGCAATAGGCCACAACCAACAACAGCAATACATCGTTAGGCATTTTCGATTTCGAGATAGATCACGTAGCTTAGCCAAATAGTCACCAGCAGTATCAGGTGTCGAACGGAGACGACTATTCGCGTCCTGAGTACTTGTTGGGCTAACGATAAAGTATAGGACCCACAAGCAGACGACAACTACAAAAATATACCTTAAAATTCGGTGTGGCCGTATCACTTAGTACTCATGGTTCACATCATGTTAAAGTTCCCTCCCCGCCTGACTAAATGCAAAATTACCAGCGTCGCTTTATTCAGAGTCCGTTATTTTTTAAAAAGTGCTATTTGTTTTTTAATTATCGAGCTCATTTTCTTTGCCAAATGACAGCGTACGATAAGACTTTCGGGGAAATTTATCTACTTTCTGTGTCTTCTTGCTCTCTGTCCTGTGTGTTGCACCACCCGTAAAACCCCTCTACCACCACGGTCTACAGGCTAGCTCAAGTTAGTTGGGGGCCATACGCCCTATCGTCGCCCTTGTTGGAATAAGGAAAAATGCTGGCTGAGCCAGGAAATTAATTGTTCATTTCCTAAGCCTTTCGCCCAGTGAAGGCGTCTATCGCAAGGTATAATAACAGAAACGAACAACCGGCAATTATAGGGTACTTTAGCCAATCAACAGTCAGTACTACGGCTCCATAGTTTATGTGCCGAAACGTGTATGACGGTGAGAAATTAGTAGGTCGGGTGACCGGATTCCCATCGGAGCCCCAGGTTTCAACTAGCTTGCGGCTTGGGCGATTGTTCAAGCGGCTGTTAAATTGAGGGGGTGGGAATTCACTTGTGATAAGTGGTCATCCAACCGGACAGCCGAGTCGAGTTAGTGTACGCTCAGGTAAATCTTGTCTTCGATCGATTCGTAAAAGCACAGTAGCACTGCTACATGTGTTGTTAATGCTGTCTTCTCTGACGACAGACCTTTGTAAGGACTCAAAAGCTAATAAAAATAAGCAATAGTTTCGGTGATCGATCAGTTTTCCTCAGTTTGGCGTCGGTTGCTTAAGGCCCTCTTCCGTGGCAAATGGGGTGAACTTGTTTTCCTGGCGTGCGCAATAATGCGCTTCTCAGTAAACTGTAGAGTTGTCAGTACGAAGATATGAGGAGGCTGCCCAACAGGATAGTCGACCGTGGGGCCGCCCCAACTTGCCACATCTCGTTGTCATGGTGTCAAACGCACACGGGGGTGCGCGCGCAGACAAAAAACACGACCACGTGCCTTTCGACTCTGGCAGCATGCGTCGGCGGTGGCACACAAGCGGTGTGCGCAGTCTATCACATGACCCACATTAACTCGGTGATTGGCCAGAACGCGAACGTACACGAAAGCCGCCATCTGCAGGGTTACGCGTACGAGGGCGGTGCCGCTGTAATGCGGCATCAGCAGTAGGACAAGAATTTCAGGTTTAGAGGAGCCTATAAGAGCATGGTCTGCTGGCACAAAGGCATGGCGGTATTTGTCCAGTCCCTTAATATTGCAAAGATTGATATGGTCAGCCCCATAAAAATCAAGTGCGCATTCGTAAAGGTCAGGTCCGCCTGAGGTAGTTCTCAAGAAGATTGTTAAAAAATCCCATATTTCAGAAGTTGTCAGAAATTCTGCCAGATACCCGAATCACTGAAAATAAACAGATCAATTCAAATTCACTGTCATTTATCAACAAAGGAACTAGCCTATCGAACAACTACACTGGTAGGTAAAACACCTAGATGTCACCTACAATAGTTCTTTGATAAGTTAATAAAAATATTGCTGCTGAGTCGTTGATGGATCGGAGTTAAAACACGAGCAAAATGTGTTAATAAATTTCTAATTGGTGATATACAAAAATTAACTTAAAATTTATGTCTCTAAGGCTCTGGTGCATTTAACCCGACGATTTGGCTATGTTGCAGGAGGTGATACGCGCATAAGCGCGACAACATGCGTTAACTAATTACAAAACTCCAGAGGGTCAATGACTCCAATTCTCAAGGTGAAGATGAAGAGAGCGACTGTCTACGCTGAAACAATGACGATATGGGGCTCTTAAGTTCCACAAAACTGCCTTCGTTGGCCTATCTCTGATATTGCTTACGTGGTCGTTCCGCAACTCGGTAGGCAATGGCCTGTTTACGATCGTAGCCAAGTCGATATGAGCCCACCACAGTGTACGGGAAGCTTCATTCCGCAAAAAACACTTTGAAACAAGGAGCCGGTACGCTTCGCGGTAGGATATGAAAAGATCGTCCCGACGGTGGTAAAACACCTAGCGACTATAACAGTCGGTAATTCTACGGTCTTTCCGGTCAAATGAAGAGGAGAAAAGGGAGGAAGTCTGACGCGGACATCTGTCAAGTCTTTTTGGTCAAAATAGCTAGTCACAGTCGAGGGCTCAAGAAGACAACAGTCCTGGGAGGAGGAATTTGGAAGCAGTCAACAGGTAGTTTTTGCTCCTAGGTCCAACTAAGTTCGTCATAGCCGAATACGACGCCCATGAAACATTTCGATAGTCAAAAGATTGATAATAAGTCTCGGCAACGGAGAACACCAACAGGATATCGCCAAGTAAGGTAGGTGAATGCCCCGGCAAATTATCCAAGCAGGCTTGATTAAATCTTAAAGGTGAAAAGCGAACATTAGGTGAGAGGGGCTAGAGAACAAATATAAGGTGTCCCGCACTCCAGCAAAACGAAAGTCTCCACGTAGCATCCGCAAATCGGGCAAGATCAACCTTAGTGAACACATGAGTCCCGTCCATATTTCAAAAACGACTGCCAAAACCACATAGACAGACCTAATGAGAACTTACAAGTATGACTCTTGCCAAAAATAGTCGGTTCCCTTTTCGGAAAAAACGGACAAAAAGAATGTGGACCCCAATGAGTCCAAAGATGGCCACTTTAAAAGGCAAAACAATAATACTTTTTGGCTGTTTTTGCACCAAACGCACTAACACCGAGTAGCCAAAGCCATTTAGTGAAAGAACGTTGCGCGTCTAACCAGAGGTAAAGATGAGGTCAACAGTAGTCTACAACGGCGTATCGGTCTGCTACGGCAGAACCAGACGACCAGGGATCGCAGTTCACACCTCGGCGACAGACAGGACTGGCTTTGACGGCATGATTCATTCTCTGATAGGTCAAATAAATGCCGCTTCATAATGTGTTTGCTGGGTCATTAGTATATCATGTGACGAAAGTGAAGGAATACTAAAATGCTCGGTAAATATTAAAAGTGTCGAAAAGAAGCCAGGATCGGACTTATATGTGCAAACAGCACTCCCTCCACCACAACGGTCTGGCGCATGACCTCCTCTAGCATAGGAATGATGAACTCCGACTTAACGCCAACAGCAAAGGTCATTGGCTATTTCGTATCCTAATCAGTTACCCGGCCCTCACGGCATTTTTGTAGGATCGTGCAGTCTACTCTTGGCTACTGCTTATACGGCGCAAGGTTTAATTCACAGTTACATAAAACATTAAAATGAGCATATGGAGTAAATATGCTTTTCTAGATTCCTATATAGCCTAACCCACACCGTCCACCCGTAAAAACAGTTGTACCGCAATCCCTGTACTAGAGGTGGTCTAACGTCAAAGTGTTGGGGGAAGGGGATGCATACATTCACATCAAACCGAAACCATTTGATCGTGGCCGACCCAAGGAAAGAATAAATCTTGAATAACAAAAGTGTCATGTTAGTAAAATGAGGTATACAAGTAGAGGAAGAGAGAGAGGTGGAATAGCACACGTAAAAAATCCTTTATTGCACTCATTTGATTGCAAATTACGCCTTCTTCAAATTTCACACAAAGAAATGCGGCCTTTCAGTCCTGTAAATGTTTGCAGTTATGAGATCTTTTCAAGACAGAGGAATGTCCAATAGTATCTGACCGTTTATTAATGCTGCTCATGAAGTATGCAACATGGACCACATCTGTTACAAAATTTTATGAGTCTTATATCCTATCTTCCGGCCAACATACGGAAATGTATGATATGCTTTATACGAGAGGTATACAGTTTGTGGTTTGAAATCCTGAGTGCAAGTGCAACGGCAGGTGAGGTTTAAAAATTATTCGGGAACTGAAAAATAATTTAAGCCGAAAGATACCATTTCGTCGAGTAGAAATTTGAAAAGACGCAATTTGCAACCCAGTGAGCACACAAAATATATTTTTGTGCGTACTTTCTGTAAATTATATTTGAACTTATAAGGCCATCGAAATTCAATGGAAAAATTCTTACTACTTAAGCAGTTATCGTTATCGGGCGCGGTCTTTGCATGCGATCGGGAGAAAACGCATGCAAGAGCTGGCATCCTGGCATGACTGAAATATATTAGGGGTTTGCTGCAGGATAAACAATATTGCAATCATACCTAATGAATCTTCTATAATAGAAAACGCATTTCAGATTCTAGGTTAGCATTTCATGAGATAAGTTAAAGCGAGTGTTGCACGAGGAGTTTTAGTGGAATTTTGGTCCCCGTTTCCGTCGATCGGATAGCTGATCGACTAACAAAGACTGGTAAGGCAAACACCAAGCCTGCAAAGAATTATCAAGTGCGCCTGCTCATCTACGGGGCAAACTGATTAATACAACGCCTATCAACGCTTTGCACCTGGCTCACGCAAAGGTTTTATGGCAGACCTTGTCGTCAGAGAAATTGCTAGTGTCCGTTTGTTGCAGGGCATGAGTTGGGCATTCTCGTTTGCAAACATGCGTCTGAACGAAACCGCGCTGTGGCTCGGTCCGACTGAAATAAGTCCGCAGAGGTAGAAAGTTATCGGAATAGACTTTCGAGAGCTGATCAGAAGCAGGTTCAAACCAGTGTTGTGTGTTTGCGTAGAATTGTTCCTCGCGTGTAGTCCGCGTGCAGACCGTGCATAAAGGTGCACAGGGCATCGGATGGTCTGCAAAGGAGAAGAAAAAGTCGCCAAATAAGTGCCTCTAGACAACTGCACATACTTCACAAAAGGCCCTTCCTGGTGGTGAGTTGATACTTGACGCCGCTGCCTGTTCCGTCAAAGAACCAACCGGAGGAGCAAGCGCGAATGAAGTTGGGGTTTGATGTCTGGAAAACAGACAAGTGCGAATTCGAAAAAGACTATGAGTCGGGGTGGTGTACCAAAAGCAGTAGCTCTATCCTGCAGAGATATTCACAGCAAAGGGCAGACATGCAGGAGCTGATCTCAAGATCGACCAACAGTAGCAAATAAGGAAGCTGGTGGACCGGGGAAAAAGGTTCGGCAGCTGGCTACTGTCTATCAAACAGCGATTGAGAGATGTAAAGGATAGAAGACTGAAAATAATGAGGATGAATTAACATTAGGATCAGAGGCTGCGAAATGGTCATGGGTGAGGGTAGGATGAATTTGACAGCAGATAATTTCTCTGTCGAAGACAGAGTAACTTACGCACGAAACTGTTTACAGTGAATAAGGTATGTGCGAAATCCAAATCACCCACTACCTCCAGATCCGTCGCGCTTCGCCGGCACACTGGCGACTGGCGATGAGCGTGGGCGGCGTGGCTCACAGAGTCTTGTCTACGTGTGCCACACGAGACCCTGTACCTACCTTCGAAATAACCAGGCCCCGAAGAAAAACGGAAATCTCTGGACCCTCATAAGCGACGATGTCATAAAGGTCACGCTGAGAATAAGCTATTTCGGCCTAACCCTTCGTCCTAATTAGGACCAAGTTGACGCCCCTTCGAGCCACGGCTAATAGCACGTCGTGATACCGTTGGAGCGCTTTTTGCAATTTACAGCCAAGAAATCAAGCGCTGAATCGGAGCTGGATGGATCTTACTTTGTCTTCTCATTTTCATGCCTTGGGCGTCTTCCGGTTGGGCCGGCCGACGATGAAACTTGGTGCGGTGACCGACACACCGCAAGGCCGCACATGAGGGCTCCGATACGACCGAGGTGGTGGATGGCATGGAGGCAACAGAGAGAAGGAACCATTGCTACTACTAACGATGTGTTGCCGTTTCATGTTCAACGTCGCACAGCCAGTCCAACACGCCTGCCTTATGGCGAAGCAATTCATACTTCCGAAACCACCAAGGAGCTAAGGATAGTTTCGTATTTGAGTCTGTTAAACCCAGTCTGTGAGGGCGTAGCCCGCATCGTGCGCAGACCTACACTGTCTGGAGTGACACATTCGCGCCGCGAGGGCTACAACAGCAAGCAGTAACGCCCGGTTCATATGACGCTATTATACGGCACGAAGAGAAAGTGAGGTCATGGTACAAAAAAGAAGACGAGAGAAGTGGGCTAAAATATATGTAATTACAGTTCGAATGGAATTTTTGGGTAAATTCATAAAGACCTAACTAATAAGTTAGAACCACATTACGCTCAAATGAGTAAAGAATAGGATCTAACTCAAGAAGTGGGATCAAACAGACGAGCGGTTGGCAAATCACATGGTAGGAGAGTCGGATTAATAGTTACGCACTAAGGTTATAATACCGTTTTAAGACACTAGTGAACGAGAAACCCTCGAAAAACTCCCAAACAGGCATGAGGGTCATTAAGTCTAGGAGGAGAAGGAGGAACACGGCAAATACAGATGTAGCTTCTGTGGCAGCATGGATAACACCTGATACCCGTCCCTGAAGGAAAAGGATAAACAGTAAGCAGCTGCTTGTACATTAGCCGTGCCGACTGTGGCTCAAGTCACATGTCTCCCCGCTATTCAAAGAGCTGTAGCGGCTAGGACTTACTAAAGTCCAGACGATGTCGCAACCATACGGGTGCGTCATCAACGCGCGAGCCCTGCCATCGCTTTTGCTCGGCACACATCATAGGTTGCCGTCGACGCAGCATGTCTTCCACGAGAGACTGGTTGACCAGACATAAACACACGCAATATTTTGATTGTCACGAATGACGATGTCCACAGCTGTCCAGCGAGATGGACCCCGCAGGAAATTCCGCACGAACTTTTTTCTACTGAAGAAGACGTACGATGCGTCCACCACTCTTCCTCACCCACTGTGATGCAACCGCTGTGGGCGCGAGCGCAGCGGCAGACTGTCAACGCGTTCCGCACAAAACCTCACCTCTAAGTGCACACGAACCAGACCGGCAGAAGAGAGGGGAATTCCTAACCTCGCATAAGTAAGTGTTGTAAAGGTCATGGTATGAGGTCCTGGCCGCCTGATTCTCAGCCCTGATTAGGACATATTTATCCTGTCGGTTGCCCACCTGAGCCGCTGCTTCTGAGGCGTCTAATAGCCAAATTGCCGGCCGGCTGGACTGTAGTGGGAAGAATTCGGCCAAGATCGGCCTCCCATTTCCGCACACGGCTATTCGACATCGCTGCTAAAATCTTCGCAGTTGTCCTCTTCAACTAGTTCAGCCTGTAACGCTTTATCCGGACGAGAATCGGTGTGGATTTCGGTAGGGTCAGGCAAGTGAGTCAGCACTTTGCGCTTCATCAAACCCTCCAATACCGTCAATGCTATCGGCAACGCGCCCTCAACCCTTCATAGGCTGACCGCACTGGTGTATTATATGGTTAGGGCCCATGTAATCCGGGCCTTTAGTAGGTCGGAAACTTTGCGATGGTGGTGAATTCCTTTGCAGAAGAGTGGCACACTTTGCTCAAGAAATATGTGATGGCAGCCGAAATAAACTAGAAAAATATGACCGAGCGGAGTTTTCGAAATAGAAGATATTTGTCCGATCATGGTGGATGGGAAAGTAGTTGGGATTATACGTCGATTCTATTATGCCAGTTCGAACTTTCCGGCAGACCGGCAAGGAACAAGTCGAGACTGTGACCGGCAAAACTAGCCTTATTCGTATTTGGCTCCGTCGAAAACATTGGAACTGTCGCGAGGTTCTTCAAAAGGCCGACGCGAGCATACGAGGCCCATTTAAAGTCTTTGCGTACGGGTGAGGGACATGCCCCGTGCCTTCAGAAGGTACTCAGCGCATGGAAATATTCGACTGATTATGCCTGCGTATCATTCGTCGACTATAACTCCATAACGCACAACAGTAAAATCAGTTAGGAAAAGGACTTACCAGTTGGGAGTTCACTAACCGCCATCTGAGCTGGCTCTTTCAGACCCTGTACGGACCTTAAGGTCACATTGTCTAAGACGTAATCATAATTTAGCCCCGCTCGGGGCAGCAACCGTATCAAAGCGATTGACTGGAGATATGGGTGGACGTGGTGGAAGCAGACCTCGAGAGCATGTCGGGCCCTGCAATCTACTGAAAATGAGATGGCAAGCTCTTCTGAAACGGCTATTTTTGTCTTATGGCACTTTTTACGTTAGGAAGGGCAGTCGCAATCACTATTTTGACGCTATGCTTCTTAGTCAACAAGGCTTTAGAGAGGCGCACCACAGAATCACACTCTGACCTTTTTTAGTGTTCGCTACACAACTAAAGAGATTAATGCCAAACCAAATTCATACAAAGTGCAGGTTTAGGGAAAATAAAAATTATACGATTTCCATATTTTGGCGCCTCAATGCCTACCAGTAGGATAGCTGCGAAATGAGTTCAGTTCTGTCTGTCCGTATAACCCGATCGGGGGATTCAATGGCGTCGGCGGCAGGAGAGAACTGTAGTTCCCGTCATCGCCAACTTCGCAAGCGCCGAACGCCGATCTGGGCTGATAGGTCAAATAATAAGGGGACTGGGTGCGATGGTTTGACTTCAGCCCAACAACCGGCTGATGATCTGCGATCGGAGGATGTGACGCAGCAATATAATCCGACGGCCTATCAAAACGATGCTTCTCCAGTGTGATGTGAGAGAGGATATTTGATGTTGGTGAATGGCAGCCGGAGGTGGGGGAGGGATTCTTAGAGTAACGTGATGGTAACGGCTCGATGAAGTCGGGATCTGGAGAACGGAAGGAAACTTAGTGCTAAATGGCCAATATCAGCATATTAAGGAAAGATACTGTTGGGGAAGTATTCCCAAAAATTACTCGGATGTCCAGAATGGTCATCGCCGTCATCCGCCAGTCAATTCGGCGGCTCTTAAGGCGAGCCGTCATCTTCCATCTTCATTCGCCAGTGGACATTTCTCTGTTTTAACATAATACTCGATCAAATGAGAATAAGTTCTCTTCTTTTTTAATTTGTGTTCAGTAATGACGCTGTCTACTGAATTCGACTGTAAGTCCCTCAAGAAAACGGAGTACCTGCGTTAAACGATAGTTTGAACAATAAAGTCTGCATTTTGTGCGGTGATTAAAGATTACTTTGCTGAAAAATCTGTTCAATTAAAATAACTCTCTCAGGAAGACCCGAAGTTTACGCCGGGGTTTAGCTGATCATTGAGTCATACACTATCGGTGAAGCCGCAGACTCACGTCCTGCCGGTTGTGATCAGAAACATTCCAGGTCAGGTGACAATGGCATTTGTTGACCTGGCTTGATTGCCGGAAGCAGATCGGACATCCGCTGTCCTTTGAGATCCGGTCTACAGTCCTTACACAGGATGGCACAGCAACAAGCAGTCGGTAGTGGAAGTGTTACTGACCTTCTGAGTTTGACTTCCACGGCGGTTAACACTGACCAAACATATGCAAGGATTAGAAATATGCAAGAGGACTGATGCTAAGGGGCAAGTGAACTCAGCGACCATATGCAACGCTCCTGACCGGCGTCTCTGGAACTCAGCGACGTTCTTTACATGTTTTACAATCTACGGAGGAAAGTTGGGCCCTCGCTCTGTGACGCTGAGCTGATGTGACTGTGGATTTTGCTGTAGTCTTCTAGGGATTGTAGGAGGCCGGTGTAAGCAACGCATTCCATCCAAACATCAGCTAACCGCTAAAACGATCTGCTTAAATGTTATATGTCTTGTTCAAAAGAACTTTGGGCAGAAGAACTCGTGGTGACATTAAAAGATATTTCTCGAAAAGAAACGCGAATGAAATAAAGAAGGGAACTTTCGATCGGCACTGACTGGCATTTCTCTCGCAAACTGACTGGTTTTCTTTATAATTAGGTAGTCGGGTCATATACTCCGCGCGACCATAGCACTGATGCCGATGCGCGGGTCAGTCAATCTGGAGAGAAAATCTGACGCAAAAATTGGGTCATAGTTGGTACAAACAAACGGGAACTTACAATAACAGTGCAGAATGAATGCCAAAAGAGGCGTGAGATCGAAATAGCAATGTATAGCTTATGAGCTGTCGTAGACCAGTCATCCGCTAACCCTACGTTTCGATAGTCCGAGATCAGAACCCGGATTCCTTGTCATTGTGTGTCAAGTTCAACGTTTTACCAATTTCGGGTCTCAGGTTATCTAGACCTTGGGATCGGATATGCCTGGCTAATAACTGTCAATACACCCGAGATAACCAAACCAATCTCTTTCGTATCTGTCGGTATTGTTTAGTGGTAGTACCGGTCAATGTGCGACTGTCTGTGTGGGTTTTAGGTTTTGTTTCAAGCTACAACTCAAGGCGTATATTTTGTAGTGTAACCAGATCGCTACTCACAATGTTGTCTAAGGTCCCGACTCGCACTCGGCGGCCTGACTGGTCGATCTGACTGGGACGGTATCAGTTCTTTATTGGCATAACTGGGGTGTTGGCGTGCATGCTCCCTCCAGGCAGCACGCTGGTAAAATTCGGCCGGCGCCGGTGGTGTACTGAATCGGAAATGCGGCGAAGACTGCATCGCAGGTCGCTGTCGTTTTTCCAGTTGAAAATAACTTCCCAAGTTATCAGCAACATTAGGATAGTGAGAAGACTGCTGGTGACCACCGAAGGCCGCGGAGAGGGCAGAACCGGCGGACGAGAGACACGATACCTTGTCACCAACATCGGGGCTGCTGTAGCATGAGATTAGGGAGCAGAAGGACGCCGGAGGAGAGCAGGAAATGGAGACAGGAGTCCCGGTCAGGACAGAGCCGCATTCCTGCCTACCACCTGCCTCCGCTGTTGATGGACCATAAAAGGAATCACCTAGACTCCGTGCACTTGCCATACTGCCGTTGCCCGAGTCTGTCGAACTATAGAGTGAGGGTGAGCGACGAGAGAGATCTTCAGGGACTAGGGGTGCGATTTCACACTTTTGTCCAAAAGGAGACTGCGACTCTCCGCAGTTTTTAGCTCCTTCAGCTATCTCGTCAAGATCGCGAGAAAGGACTGCATTGAGTTCGATGAACGTTACATCAATGTCAGAGGCCTCTGGCCTACTTATCAGCGGTAACACAGACGGTGCAAATTCCTCGACGTCATTGCGCATGTAAAAAGGACGGTGAGCATGCGGAATTTTAATAAGTTGTGGGCAGCGACCGTCTGGTGTTTGTTCAAAAGATGTGGTTGCTTCCTTTTTATAATCTAAAATGGACTGCGGAGCGTAGGAACTGGAAGTTTTCATTGGCGGCAGGCCTCTGGAATCAAGATGGACTGGCTCTGCAGAATCAAACGAAGGACACGGCCGAGCATATGGCGTCGGAATCAGGGCTGGTAGTGGATGAGGAGGGTGGTGGTAGAATTCTGCATTCTGCGGGGGTCCGTCACGTGGGGAGACCAAGGAGGGGGTCGGGTAACCAGATCCTTCACATTTCGGGATTTCAGTGGGGACGGACGATTTATAAGGGACCTGGACAGTTAGTGGAGGTAAAGAGGAGAAAGATGTTTGTGATGGCGAGAGAAACTTAGAGGCCTCTGAAATTTCCGAACTTATTTGTGCATCCAAAGCGACTTCGTTTGGAAAACTCCGAATTTGGCCAGAGGGTGCACAATTGGCGACCTTTTTACCTAAATAAGAGAAGGATTAATAGGTTAGGTATTTTGGTAAGCCGTTCGCTTTTCATCAGGGAAATAAATTCGAAGTAAGCGTAACGATAGATATAACGTATGAAATCATGTCCGTATAAGCTCCGAAAACCCGTCCTCCAAAAGGTACACTATGGCAGATCAAGAAACCATTTCAAAAAAGGACGCTAAGCAGACGCAAGTAGGAAATTCAAAGGATAGATCTATCCCTATTCACCAACGAGGAGCCTGGATCTACTTTTGAATTCCTCTAACGCTTACATAATATTTCTGCGGCAAATATCTCAAGAGTGCTCACGCGGGTGTTTCTCAGCCATATGACGTTTCATGTGGACCTGACGGGTGCAAACATAGTGGCAGTCTTCAGCAGAGCAGCGGATTGTTTTGCCTTTGCCATGACAATCGGAGATATGATTCTGAAGGTATTTTTGAGTGCTAAAGGCTCTTTCACAGCCAGAAACTTCACATAAATGAGGTTTTCGACTGTCGTGAGTGTCCATGTGATGCGTTAGTTTCTGTTTTGTCCTAAAGGTCTTGCCGCACACCACGCATTGGTGCGCTTCTGTGGAGCCCGGACGTCTGAAAGAGGGCAAAGGATGGACGCTCTCGCAGGTGTGCTGGTGAAAATCACTTGTATCGACAAACGGGTGAAATGAAGGAGACGTGAAATCAGCCGACGGCGAAAAAGAATGGGCGTCAATGAAGTTCTGCGTTCCAGGCGAGTTTGAGCAAAGGAGCTCGGCGATACTTAACTTTCTTTGCAGGGCTGGAGATTCAGTTGTAAGTAAAGGAGACGGTGAGAGGGAAATGTCGCCATTAGGGGTATCGAGAGATCCACTGCCGACAGGGACGGAACCATGCGGCAGTTTCCTTTGATGAGCCTCAAACTTGTTTGCCAAGACAGTAACTATCGGAGCGGCAGAAGTGTAGTTACGTTTGTCATGCGCAGCGTCAACGTGCTTTAGTAGATTACGATGATACTGGCTTGAGTAGGCGCAGAAGGGGCATTTGTGGCGTTTTATGACCACATCACCAGCTTCGTGCCTTTGCTGATGATTTTTCAGAGAAGTGATATTTCGATAGGTCTTACCACAGTACCTGCAGTTAGAAAGTTTCTCGGAAGGAGGTAGTTTTGATCTTGACGACTGGGAAGGGTTGCTCGCAGTATTAGGAGCAGAAACTTCGTCAGGTACTTCGGTCGGATGTTGTATCGAGAAGTAATCAAAATACCCGGAAGAACGACCAGGGGCATCTGCTTTTTCAGCGGCCTCGATGTCTTTGAAAAAAGGAGGAGACTCAAAGGAAATCTCTAAATCTGGTTGGTTTGGCGTTGACTGACAGAGCGACATGGAAACAGTGAAGTCAACAAGGGGAAGATCGTTAGGAATTTGAGCGACGCAACCTTCAAGAGAGGGATCTTGTGACGGCTTCTCAGTTTTTGCCTGGGTCCTTTTGACTAAACCAGAAGAAAATGCAAATGATGACGCAAGTTTTGTTGGCGGCACACTCAGATCATCTTCCGCGATTTGACCAGCGCCCTCAAAATACTTACTGACTGAATTATTGCCGGCGAAGTAATCACCACTCTCAAGCAGGCTGTCGAAAGATAAAACAGGTGAGCAGCTCGATAAGGCTGAATCGTCATTTTCAGGTCGTTTGAGGGGATATTGACCGAGACCCCATTCGGACTTCGAACTCTGGATTTGCATTTGATAAGGGAGGATGATAGATTACATTGGTGTATACGGCGATCTGGAAGAAAAACATACGGCCAATTTTAGGATTCAATTATGCAAAATTTTTTAAATGAAGCCAGGCAGACCAAATAAGTAATAAGGTTGACAAGTCCTGGCTAAACTATATACAAAATATCGGTTGAGCGGTTGGCTCTATCACTAACGAAGCCAGAGGTCCCTTGTCGTTTAGCGAAAAAACCAAATTCGCTCTGGTAACGGCCAGACCTATGAAAAACAGCGATCCAGTGCTGAAACTTCTAGACAGTATAACGACCGCACTTTAAACTGCGCAGAATTTCAAGACAGAAGAATTAAAATGCAGCGGTTCGGTCGGCCTTGGACAGCTCTATAAAAAGGAGGGCAAATATTGTCGAAAAGGAAGGGTTACACTTCACGCACATCCTGTTAGCAGCATTCAGAAGTAAAAATCGCTAAAGGTGACTTCTGAATCCTTATACTATCCTAGTTCTGGGTGGCGTTTTCTAACCATGAGAACGCGAAGATAGTTAGCTGCATTATTTCGCAAACTGACTGCCATAGGACTTCGACAAGCCTATGACACTTAGACTCTCGAGGAAATATTTTCTGCCCTCGCTATGCTGTTTTTAATTGAAAGGAAGACGTAAAACTCCTGTCATTGATGTGTATGATGAACTACGAACACCGGTCAAACCGATAACGCATCACAACGAATTCTATTTCCACGAGACGTACGGGGTTCAAGGCAAAAAAATAAGTTAATCCATTAAGGGTATGTCCAAAAGATCCAAATTATTTGACTTTACTCTGTTTATGGTTAATCGACCCTGCTGGCACACGGCATATGCGGGACTGAAAGGGGACTAGGCATAGGTGTAGCCCCATCTATTTTGAAGCATTTAGTATTCAGGAAAGACATGTTTCCTGAAAACTGTAGATCGGTGGAAAAGCAGTATTACTTGTCTAGGCGTATGTTTTTTAGCTAAAATAAGCTATTTAGCGCAAAGTAAATAATGTTTTAGGATACAGTTGTCCTCTATGCCTATTTTATTTGAATATGGATGAGACGCACAAAGCTGTAGCCTTACTTAAATTGGTAATTTTGAAGACATTTATCTACGAGGTGAATGGCGTAGGTGTGAATACGGCCTACCCAGAAGGAGAATCCATTGACTCGGGAGTAGGTTAGCCAATGTGAGTTTTTATACTTTTTTAATGTTTGTTAATTTATTTGATCTACGATTAGTTCCGAGGTATGTGCTCATCAACTACGTCAAATACTGAAATTGTGTGTCTTGTAGCAGACTTGGTGTTGGAAGTGCAGTTATGCCCCTTGTATACCTTCATTTACAACTATGGGAAGTAGAGGTGAAACATTATTACTCTGGATACGACCGGAGCACCACATTAATGCGCATTGGACGACAGATAAGTGTGTAATATGCGGGCATGGATGAATGAGTATACGCTTCTACCATTATCGTCCGTAGTTTCCGCTCAATCGTGCGAAAGGGATATGCCAACCTTGAATCCCGAAATCCCCACCGGAAGGTCTTTCACGTGTCAAAACGAGAACTGGGTGCAGAGCCCGAGGAAGATGTGCAAAACACAGGGGCAGTTGAAGTCAAGTGCGTTCTGTTTGCTTCGCAATAATTCTGCCTAGAGACAAAAATGCCGTTTTTGACGACCAGGAAGCTGTTTAATAAGTTGCGGCCGTTCCATACGGAACTACCCAAGGATCCACGGGCACTATTGTGAACGCCTCGAGCGTACTTTAAGAAACCCCTTAAGAACGAGTGCTACGTGAATTTGGGCCTTGCATGGGGTCTGTTGCGTGAGCTGGGCCTTCGGGTGACAAGGAGAATCCCGGAAATGCGCGTGCCACTGCATATTGATGGGATGGATAGTGCTAAAGGGTCCAGTCAGTGCTTGTAGCCCACACTTTGTCATGTCTTAGACACAACACAAATAGACAACGCAGAATTAACGTTCCTCAGTGGACCGCAAGTAGCATTGCATAACCTTTTCACTAGGTATCAAGAGTCTCAATGCAAAACTACATTATCCAAATGGAAACTTGAGACAACTTAAAAACCCCATGATGAAAGGTCAACAAATTTAAAGAAAAGCAACATAATTCTCCGAATAGGATGAAAATTACTTACGTTTAGGGGGTCAGATTTCCCAACTAACATTACAGTATGCATAGAATACTAACCCCCAAGATGTGGTGGGAAGGTCTTAGCGAAAAAATTGGGTGCATAATGTTACATCCCTGCTATCCCCAGCCCCGTCTGGCCCCGGGGTCTGGGCCCCGTTTGGGGGAGGCTACGGCCGAGGCTGTGGACCATATAGCCCGTTCTTTTATATGAAAGAACGGGCTATATGCCCGTTTTTATAAACGGAACTGGCTCTGATAGCCGCCCTTGGCACACAACTAAGGCAAAACATTAATAATTCACCTAACCAGACCATTAATACGAGTGGAGTGTCTAGCTGGCCGACTTAAGTGATTAAATTTATACTTTTGATTATCCTTATAATTATAAGGGTCACACATTTTCAGGAGATAGACAACCGATAAAAAAGCATAGAGGGATCCAAAACTGAGAAAATCGTTAAGTGCGTGTTGGTAGCATAGACGTGAAATGTTTAATTCTGTAGCGGAAAGACCCACTCCCGAAAGAACTGAGAAACACAAACTCACGCCGAAGACGGCTAATCCTAAGTTACACCAATTTATGTAAGGATCAAGGACGAATTATATTTCCCCTAGCTTAAACAAAGTGGGAAGGATTGTTTAAGATTCATCATTTGCGCAACATGTCCAACGGTTAAGCTCTCATACAATTACTTAATGCCTTTTAACCATCTTCACTACCTTTAAATATTAATGGAAGACGCACATGCATAAGATTTCTTATCAGAACTATTGCAGATACTTTGTGCACTCGAAGGTAGCTAAGAGATCGATTATCAAATCTTAAGGGGACTTTAAAAAACGCGTTCAATATACGATTTATACTGTCTATCATTGCGCTAACAGGTGTGAACACTGAGTGGTGTTTCTACTGACACCGTCATTGTTTTGCTCGGATTAATTTGAATAATCCGTGTTGTCGCCGTGGCCTTGCATTTGCACTTCGGAAAGATTGCAAGTGCAATAAATATGTATGGCCCCATCAGAAAATGCAATCGCTTGCACAAAAATTTGAACGCTGCATGGGTGTCGCTAGACGGACATTATGCATTGGTTGCCTATGTTTTACTGTCTTGTAGCACGCCTCAACGGGCTTCACACGCCTCAATTTTGGCCGGTCCAACAAATGGCTTTTTTAGAGAGTAAGGTAATTCAGGAAAATATGGAATTTCAATTGAATCGGCCAGTCATATTAAAGACGACGGTAGCCATCCAGCTAACTGAGACACTATTGTGGAGCCAGCCGCCTGATTTGACGGCAGAACAGAGCCGGTGACGCCCAGGGTTCCAACTGAAGAAACCGAAATAGATAAACCGCACCAATTAACACAACAGGCAAGCGAAAACGACGCCCAATGTGTTTCAATAATACCCACAACAGTAGCAAAAGCGGCTAGAAGTTCGACTATCGAAAAACTGGTGTGTGTTTATATAAAAGGCCTAAAATCTTGCTGAGATGAAAATTTCCCTTGCTGAATTCTCTCCAAATGTGGTAGCAGTAAATGAAACCTACATAAATGTCCAGGAATATGGGTGATGGCGAAATAGCATTAAATGGATAACAAAAATATCGTATGGGAAGAGAACACTTTAATGGTTACAGTATAATTGTTTATGTGAAAGAACTTCTGTGGGTGTCAGAAAACACCAACAAGTTTGCGTGCAACACTAAAGCTATTTGAGAAACCATAAAGACTGTTGGTGACCTGTGTCACTGTCTTTCGACCACCTAGAAGAGACTTAATCACTGGCGGTTATTTATAGGAGCAAATGGGAGAATTCTCTAGTCGACCTAATGTCCTGAATATGGGCGACCTCAGTGTGTCAGGAGCCAACTGAAGCACTGTTCAAGCGCCATTCCCAAAATCGACCTTCAGCTTCCGCTTTCCACATAAAGCACCCAAGGCGCTCTTCACGCAACATGCAGTCTTTCCAACAAGAACACGTGATGGAAAAAAGGTCAGCTGCCTGAATCCAGTCTTGCTAAAAACTTCAGAGAACATAGACGAGGTCATTTATCAATTCAGTCGGCATGATGGCGTCCACAACAGATGCAGTAAAGACAACTCCGGTAAAAATACAGCCCAATAAATCACCTGGTTCGTATGCCATCCCCGAAGAAGTTGTAAAAGGACTCGCAGAACAGCAGGCTTGCCCGATCTTCAAGATCTTCGAAGATCGGTGCAGGTGGCAGCTACACCTTCCGATTGGAAGCGTGACAACGTAAGACCTATATATAAAGGCGGAGAGAGAACCTCGTTATATAGCTTTAGATCAGTGAGTCTCATAAGCATTTCTTACAAACTAATGCGGAAAAACAATACAATGAAAACCGATTAGGCATACTGATGAGGATATCTTGCTTAGTGCACATCAGCACCTATTTACAGATGGCCCATCTTCTCTCTAACTTGTTCGAATCTATTGAAAACTGGACGAAATCTTTAGAGGTAGGTTTGTCGGTAAATGCAGTCTACAATGACTTTAGCAAAGCCTTTGACGGGGTGCCACGCAGAGGGCTCATATCTAAGCTGCGCCAATAGATGTGACTGTCAACTTACTCAAGTGATTGATTGACTTGCACACAGGCCGACGTCAGCGTGTGAGCATTGCTGACCCCAAATCGGAGTGGGTAACCGCTGGCAAATGGGTTCTTTAAAGGAGCGTCTTGGATCCATTTTTGTTTTAACATATGTAAACGACTGCTTTGCTTCACTGACCAGTGACAAAGTAATGTTCGCTTATCGGAATCTCTTTTGCACAGTTGCAGACACTGGAATCGAGTGTTGAAAAGGGATGATTGGTCAGCGAAAATCTGCGAAAACGTCTGAACCGTGTCCTTGAAAGTGACTTTTCGGGGATTCTTGAGGAGGATGGAGGTGGCATAACGCTCGTGTTCAGCCGGACCCAGTTTGCGAAGTAGGAGTCGAACCTCCCATGCATCGCCCTGGGCAGCCAGATCGACATAGAGCAAGTCCTTGCATCGTTTGTTCCAGGAATCGAAAGTGGTATGGGCCTGCGGGTCATACAAGAAATCAGTGATGCTGCTGGCAATGTGATCGATAGAATGTGAACCACCAGCCGCGCTTGATTGGCCCATGGATTAATTGGATAGCTGGACGGTCCGAGCCTCTATCAGTTGCAACATTTGCTTCAAGTCAGCGCACTCGTCAGCCATTGTAGTTGCAAAACTGCGTCGCCAATTTGTTATGACTCGCCTGGTACTTGAAATCCCATTGACCGTATAGGCACTCGACTCTTGTCCCAATACCAACCCGACAGAGAAGGAGAACGTGACCGGCCACGAATATGTGTATTAGGAAATTACAAGTCAACATTAACTGGATGTAACGCATATTTATAACGCCCTACTGTGCTTCGCCGACGTTCGGCCTAGTGCCCTTCGGGTAGAACATTCCAGACGAACCGGTCGATAATTCGAATATGCAGATCGATCAGACCCGAGAGGAAAAGCCAATGGAGAGACGCCACGATTAAGGTGACAGCGCAGTAGAAAAAACGCTCGTGGCCTCCCGTGATTGGCTGGCTCTTGTTTTTGGGAGTGTAGGCACTCCCAACAGTGAAGGATTTACTCCGTGTCTGTCGCCTTTCGAAAAACACCAGTCGGGATGGTTCCGGCTTCCTGCCTCGATAGCTGGACGACGAGGAAAGGGAGCACTCGGTTATTTTCTTCCCCTATGGTAAATTTGATTTGTGGAAAAACCGAGTCCAACTCCCTTTTAATGTTGTTTTTCGCATCTTGTTGTAGGATGACCAAGGTGTCATCTATGCAGCGCATCCAGACATTTAGCATGTAGGTCTGAAAGACCAGAGTTCCTAGTTCCTGCAAGACCGCCTTAACCAGGTAGCCGGAGATTGGGGGCCCATAGGGGCTCCCTGGATTTGCTCGTAAATGTGACCATTAAATGTGAAATACGTGCGTAAACAGTAGTCCAGTAGTTTCATCGCGTGCCTTCTCTTAAAAGGTTTCCCTTCTTCGTCAAACCTTTTATTCAGTAGGTCACCGACAACTCTCATGGCCAATTCTATAGAGATGGAGGTGGCCCGGTGGGTAGAGGCGTGGACTTCTAAACCAACAGGTCGCGAGTTCGAGGCTCGGGTGTTACACACTTCGGGCTTGGGTATGGCTGGCTGACGACGGCTAACAAGCCAGAAATGGCCATTCCAGTCTCCCTTGTCTTTGCCGGTAATACCATTCTGCCTATCTATCATGCGCTGCTGAGCGGCTGCTGGTTGGGCTCGAGAGAGAGCCCTTAAGGCACAACGGATCGAGTGAGTTCCGTATGAACGATCGGTGAGCGCCCCTACCAAGGTGTATGTATGTATGTATTAATGTATGTAAACTGAATCACTGAAGTAGTATGCCTACCGAGAAGCAGGCTTCTGTCTCTTTCTTTCGCATTAAAAACAGTTCAAATCTTCCTCAGATTCCAGCCCCTACCCCTGCTAGTCGTCCATTTAACCTTCGTAATTCTTCCTTAATTATACCTTCTCCCAATTCCCCCACCTTTAAGTGTTCCCTTTTTTCGCTTCCAAGTATAATTTTATTTAATTTTTAATTTTAATTTACTATTCTTTTAACTTAAATCAATTTTATTTGATGCCAGTTTGCAGGCGTTGTCAAGGTAGCGTTAAACACATATCCTGCCAGAAGTGGAACAGCCGTCCAACAGACATAAGATCACCAGATAATCTCTATACTTTTAGAAGAAGACTGCGGCTTCGTATGAACACTGACTCGATTAAAATTTCATTTTCCTCATCACTTCCGGGCCACTTTCTCCATGGCTTTGAAAACGGACCGTCGGGAATTAAGGACGTCGCCGCCAAATTATCGTATCCGTTCACATTTATCCCCGTCTCTGCCTGTGGTTTCGTCCTCCAGGATCTCTCACCAGAAATTTCGATTTTTCGTTATTTCAGGCCACATATCGTGTCCTTCACGGAACGTGATTACCTCTCCAACCAATCTTACAGAGAAGTAGCGGGCCATGTTGACGTCCACGCCTTAAGCCGTCTTCGTTTCGCTTATCTCCAAACCTCACTAGGAATCCGTTCTGCCCTCTTTGATTTCGAGCATTCTCCCCCAGTGCCATTCCCATTCTGGAAAGGCCGCCGCCTAATATCACTATGCTCTCATCCTACCCTCATGAAGGATTTACCCCACTTCTCCATATCTCTTCACGAGCGATGACTTTCGCGGTTTTATGATGTCATCTCCTCATTTCGACTCCCAATGATCTGTTGACGATCACAGCGGATTCCTCTGTTTTCGCCTGAGCACGCGAGTTTAATCACATCTGGGTCAAGTTATTCATAGCGAGTTCAGAGCGAGGAAATATTATAAGGCCACGAGGATTATCGAAGTCCAGGTAGATGCGACCGTGATGCTTCTTTGTTGACCGAACAAACGACCAGCAAAATGGCAAAACACAGGAACCCGCTACGATCATCGAGCGATCACCTAGTGTTGAAAAGATTTGTGGAACTTGAAAGCCACGTGGATCAGCGCTGCAGAGGGTGATATTAATCGATTTAGCGTCCGCACAAAAGTAGGTTTGCAAATTTAAATGAGAGTTTCGAACCGAAGAAGTAAAGCGTGTTAATCTACCCTTAGATTACAGGAGGACACCTTCAAAATCAAGAATTTGAATGTCCGGGAATTAAATGGGTAATAATGACTTCATACTATCTGCGGTAAGGTGCTTACGTGATTTTACTGTGAATACCGACAATCTAGGTGTTGAGCTAAGTTCTAGTTAAAGATTAATCTAAAGGAAAGTTTTTCTAGATGCAGAAAGAGAGCCGAAGTTTAGGCCAGTGGCGAAGTGGCGGTGGGATCACTATGGAAGAATTGCGCGTGACACAAGAGCGATCTGTCGAAATGAGAGCGCCAACACATAGAATATTAAGGTTAAAAGTCAGGTCAAAACAGACTACAAAAGGCCAGCTTCGAGTCTTCTTACCCATAGAAATCTAAATGTTTACCAAGAGACATCTCATGATATTAGAATCGCCGGAGCCGGCTTAAAAGATGAATTCTTGAGTAAAAACTCAAAAAGTTTTACATTTTTTTACGGTTACAGGCACTCATTAAACCGAAGCAAATACAGCAATATTCAAGGACGGGATGGAAGCCTCTAATACAGTCTTCAAGTCACTTTGGGGAAGGAAATAATTATGCTATATCAACCCACATATCCTCGAAACTTTTGCAGAACTTCGATCTGCATGAAATGATAAAGCGACCTTATTTATACAACTTAGATCTAGGTCCTTTATGGCGAAGCATTCCGACAGTGGGTTATTTTGAAACATTATGAGAACAAGGAGATTAGTACAGCCAAAGGATATTAAAGTACACTTGGATTAAGAAAGTCCCTCTGCCATGTTGAACTTTGTTTCCTCGAATATCGCAGATCGGAATTAAATGCTTCAACGCAAACATTTGCGGTGTCCAGAGAGTGTGAATAAACGGAGATGAGGTGATCGGCATAAATGAACGTCTGTGGATTTCTTATTTATGTTAAAACAACGTTGATGTAAAGGAGGAAGCGTAGCGGATCCAGGACCGTGCCTTGAACTACACCACTCTTGATCGAGTGAGGTGCCAAATAGCCATTACCAGCAAGGACTTTCTTGTAAGGGTTGGATAAGTAGGGCCCGATGAAGTCGAGTAGAGGAGGCCGGCTGCAGGGTGCTTCCAGTTTTACAAAAATACTTTTATATAGCAACTTGTTGAAGGCTTTAATAAGATCAAAATAAGTTACTACCACTGACCGCTGTTTACATCGAAGAGGGGCGATAAAAGTAAGGAAGGCTAAGAGGCAATGTTCACGAGACCTTTCGGACAAAAATCTATGCTCCGAAGATGATCAGCAAGATAAAAATGAAGATTTCATTAAGAAGTGTTTTTTTAAAAGGTTTTGCCAAGGTCTGAACCTTGTGAATATTCCGATAGTTATTGATGTCGTGACTCAGATCTTTGTAGGATAGCTGATTTTATCCGTATTTATAGGACAAATGCAGACTGATAATAGATGACTGACCAGCTTCGGATCGTCTGATACCTTCCTGATAATCGAGTTGTGATGCTGTACGTTACCGAGTCATGCAGCCCACTTCTCACTGTTAAAAAGAGAGAGACAATGGAGTCGGAAGAGCTAGATTTAAGATATATATGGGGCACAAATTCGTTGATAGAATAGAATAGGTTTATTATAGCGCCCTTTGGGCACTGCCAGTCTCCCTTGAACACAGAAAAAAACCTAAAAGAAACTCATCCATTTCGACTGCACTTTGACTTCATTTGTTTTGGGTGTCTGTTTACCAAACAGAGCGCGAACTGCGAGTTTGTTTTAAGTTAAATGACACCTGAGTTCCAAGGAAAAATAATCTTAAACGTTTTAAGAAAGAACGATATGTACAATATAAAAATTGAAGTGTGCAGTTTGGTAGTTTCTGGGGTGGCATGAATAATATGTCCTTCATGGAAATTGAAGAAATTTGATATCGGCCTAACATTGAAAGTATTTTCCAATTGGGTAAATTTTCGTGCATTCTAGTTGGTGGTTGTCAGTCTATCTTTTTTTTCGAAAGTACCAATGTGGGACAACGAAAGGTGATCCGACTCCGAGTCGTTTCAATTCTACTGGAATTGACTTGTCACCCGGAGTATTGATATTTCGGTCATCCCTCTCTGACCGAAGTTTGGTCTCGTCAAAATAACTCAGGAAATCTGGTTTGGAGTGTAATTAAACTTCGTTTTCTCGGATCGCATTATTCGCGATACCTTCCATGATACCTTTCTCCTTTATTGAGGCGCACAGGCCTGAGGACTGTCGTTATCCGGAGTTTAACGAAGTATCTGACTCGGTTTAGCTCAGATTCCTAAGAAGATCTATTATAACCTGCTTCCGAATTCAGTCGTCCATCAAGGGCGTGATCGAAAATCCACAGAAAACGGAGATTATTGACAAGCCGCCTGCTAAGGCTGGGTCGTTCTTTGCTTCCAGTTGACATTTGATACTGGATTTCGTTTGGAAAAAGCCCCGCTTTTTGCTCTGTGGACTAATAACT